GGTAACTTTAACCGTGCGGAGACGAAGAGGAGGCGAAAATTTGATATCAAGTTCAAAGAGAACGTGCTGATTATGCTGCAGAACACTCTGGGGAGCAGTAGTAGGGGTTGTATGAACTAGTCACTAGTCGACTTCACCGCTCTATAGTGACTTGTTATGCCTGTCATTGACTAGTCGCTGTCACGTCATAATGACCGGCAAGATGCAGTCCTCGGAAAAGACAGCAGCCTGCTGTCAGCAGGTGACAAGCTCCTGCACGTCGGGAGGCAACGTGCTGTGCCAGAGCGTCGGTACTGTCACCCGCCGTAAAACGGACATTTAACCAAATTGTGACCTTTACCCTCTTGAAATTTAACCTTCCCCTCACCCCCATCCTAACCTTAACCAGCTTGCGCATGCAAAGCTCTGATTGTTGACACGCTCCAGACGTCTGCGTCCTGAGCACGGCCACAGTAACATTATCAAATCAGGTGTCGCCACCTCAAAAACTAATTTAACACGCGATCGTTCATGTCGGCTCATTTCCTTTTATGTTTTCTGTCTTTATTTGTGCCTGATGCGTTTCCTGCTGTGGAGCGGGGCGCATCACCTGTTTTGTCCTCGGTGACGCACCGATCACTGATGTGGCCGGCGAGCACTCCGCTGTTTTAGCGGTCGGTAGATCTTTTAGAACTGCAGTTCAAAGGTAACTCATGAGGTGAATATATATGAACCCAGGTAGCAGTTTCTCTTTAGGACTGAGAGGAGATGCAGGAAGATAATAAACAGGCGGGACAGAAAAATAGTCAAATAAAAACAAGTTAGTTTTTGTACCTGCTGGTTGCAACAAACAGACACCATTGAAGGTAATCAGAAGTGAGGAACAGAAAATGAAATAATTATTTTAATGTTTAGAGCAGCAGGAACTCTGAGAGGCTGCAGGCGCATCAGTGAGTTTGCGGCCGCTGCGCGGGGGGAGGGGGGGGGGGGCTGAAGCAGAAACTACCGTTGTTAAAAGAAATGTGTTTAACTTTGAAAATGTGGGCGCAATTTTAATTGTCAAAAACTCCAGCGAACCATTAGTTCATTTTGCTCAGATAGAAATTGAGGCCTGCCTCTAATTCTGGTCCTCCTTCCAATAAAGGCCTGGAGCTTGATGAGCTTGAGTCAAATACAGGCCCGGGCCTGTATTAGAGGATTTACGGTAAATAAATGGTGAAAAGAATGTAAATTTAGTGCATGACTTTGAGTCAAGAAGAACTGCCAATCGTATGGAGATGGAGAGCTGAGGGAAGGAACGTTCCCAAGTGCTGGCCTCCTGTGAGGCAAAAATAGAGCTTTGACGTCAGCAGCAGAAACACGTCTGTCAGGAAGCGGTGAACCGAGGCTAAGCAAACCGTGTCAGACTCAAATCTCTAAGGTTTAACTTTACATTCTGTTGCACCAAACTTGAAACTTAGTTTAAAATTTAAATCTGGCAATCCTGCTAAACAAGCTAGCTTTTTAACACAAACACAGAACTGTCACCAGTCCCGTCGGCTATCGTCTTTAGCCACGCGCCCCTGATGTGTAAACCCACACTGCCAGAGGAAGCGAGGGAGCGCTGGGCGGACTGATCTAACTAATGATGTTCCTCAAAGGAAGTTGAGAGTCAGGCTCAGTCCACTTAAATAAATATAAAATTCATATAAATTTACCAGTTTACCCAGGAAAAATGTTTATAGACAGTCTAAAGTTTATACAGCAAGGATCAACCATTTTCTCACTTGTTATTTTGGAAATGTGGTCCGCCAGAGTTTAAAATTCAGTCTTCTACCCATGTTCCTGCATTAGCTGCCAGTAGAGAAGCCAGTGGCATTTGCACTTCTGAATGTCAAAGATAGCACTCGCCCATCTTGGCTTGTGGCAGGAAAGGCTTTTGTTCATTTAGCATCCAGGAGAGAGCAGAGCAAGTCTCGGCTAGTAAAAGCTAACCGTTACCCAGCCTTTCCACTGAGTGTAACGTAACAGACGCGTTCTACCAGCTCCCTTCAAACCAGGAGCGTTTCAGACGGAAACAGGAGTGAAAGCGTTCCACGCAGTGGGTTCTGCAAGGTCACAAAATCACGGGACAATTTCAGCACGACGTTTGATTTCGGAAGTTCACGCAATAACAAGAAAGGGGAAAGATGGCAGCATGTACCCAAGACGGTCCATGGTTTATTTTCTGTTCTGTTTACCATGGTTACCGAGATATCACAGGAAATGATGTACATTTTCTACTAGTTAAAGAGCAAGTCACCCCCAAATCACATTTTTTTGCTGATAAACTATATAAAGGAGTGTCTAATTGTGCTGCAGACACATGTAGTCAATAATTTGGCAGTTCAGTGCATCTTTGTTAAAATTCAAATATTCTACCTAAAACTGTCAGTGTTGCGCCGTCGTCAGGGAAAAATTCTGCACTGTATTTGAATTTAAATCTGCTACCGCTATTGGCTAAGAGGTATGCTATGATGTCATCTGGTATATTATGATGTCATAATGCCATTGTGAGCCTGTGTGTGTGTGTATTTGTTAGCGGCTCCGCCCTCTCGGTCTGCCAAGCAACAGCATTTGTTGCATTTTTCAAACATGAAGTGGGAGTGAAGTTAGTTTCTTGTAGGGGGTGACTTGCTCTTTAAGCAACTGGTAATCTGCATTTGACTTTTATTTTGAAAGTTTCTGGATGTTTTACACTGCTTCATGTTTGACTTCCTGTCTGGCCCACTCTCAACTACAGAGTTGATGCTTCACAGCTGGTCGAAAGGCACCCGTCCACTAAAACAGCAGCTAAGTACTTTTCACTTACATGTCTGGTGAAAAGGAGAGGTTACCATTAGCAACTCCACCCCACAGCAGAACTCCTCCAGGCTTGTGTTATTTGTGGAGATAAGACGTCAGAGTCAGAGTAGGGGTGGGCAATATAACTGGTATAAGGTAGAAACGATAGAAAAGTGGGTAATGATAGAGTTTATGGCTCTATCGCGATATCGCGGTAACGCATGGTGTCACTAAGATGTGCACCTGCGTCGACACTGGGACAACAGAATGGCAGTGACTGCAAGCATGGAGGGGTGGAGGAGGAGGAGCATTCTACACTTTTTGGACGTCTTTATTTTTGCTGCAATTTATTTGCCATATAAGGATTTATAAAAGCACGTCATTTTGACGTATATAAACAGAGGAAAATATATAAATATTGTTATCGCATATGCTTCAGATTATATCGCAATATAGATTGGAGGTCACATCGCCCAGCCCTAAGACAGAGGTAGAGTTTCATTGCTGTTAGCCAATCAGAGGAGAGATGTCCAAATCCTGCCGTCTTTAGCTCACTTCTACTTCCTGAAACAGGAGTGCCAGATGTTTTTCCCCAGAGAGATCGACTAACCCCCAAATTCCACTACCTCCGCTCCGCTCCGGTCCGCCCCCGCCTTACGCAGCCGCTCGCTTCCGAACTCAATTTTACTGGTACCCGCTCTACAACGGCTCCGCTCCGGTGCGGAGACCTGAGGTGGGCAAACAGGCATGCACAGGATTTTCGAGATCTTGCGATACAGTCCGAGCAATAAACGCGGAAGTTAGATCCAAACACCCGTTGTGTGGGAGAAGCATCGAAATGAACTGTTTAATCTGCCCATCATTTGTGTTGAGAGATCAGCAGAGTTTGGATCAACAAAGTGTGACTACTTTGATAGTAGAAACTGTATTTATGGCTTACTTTTGTGCATTTAAACTTCAGCCGCCATTGATAGTTGTTAAAAGTTGTTAAACCTGTGCATATGAAACAAAAAACGCCTTTTGTTTATCGATTTATTGTGAAATACGGAAATTGTGCTTGCTCCCTTTCCTGTTGGGCGGTTGTGATTTCTGTCCATTTACTGCGGAGGTGCTCCGGCGTCCGGCGAAAATAGGATCGATTCTATTTTTGCCGGACGCCGGAACAGAGGGCGCCGCACTGCCGGAGCACGGCCGCAGTAGTGGAATTGCTCTGATTGACTACAACGGGACCGATTTTGCTCCGGAGTTTGTGCCGGAGCAGAGCGGAGGTAGTGGAATTTGGGGGTAAGGCATTCACTTGCACTAGAGACCACTGCAGATGTGTTGTAAAAGTGGGTGAACTTGGTTTTTAAGCCGAGTGACGTCTCTTTTCTTTTTCAGTCTGGTCCATTAAAACTATCAACAGGTCGTGTTTACTGCTGGACAGAAGTTTACTCAACAGCATGAAAAAGAATTGCACATGTGGGACCCCCCCCCCACGGTTTGCCAGGCTAGTAACTCAGCTCTTCTTACTTTTAAACCTGGTAGAAGTCATTTTAAACCCATTTTTACTAATCTCTGATTAGTTCTAATCTTTAATTAAATGAAACCTTGCTGGGTGTAATCCAGCCTAAATGTGGACCTTTGATCAAATATGTTCTAGTATGTTGATATGTGGGTGGTTTTTAAACACGACTGCTAGAACTGAGTGTGAAATTGACCCAGTTCCTACTTAGTCATGAAATGGTCTTTAATTCCAACAGAGGTTTTCCACACACGGCACGTTTAACTCTGACCTAGGGTTAGGAGCCGACTCACGCTGACACGAGCCACATTTAACAACATGAACTGAAGCTTTGCTAGTCAAATGCAAATGTTGTAACAACTGTTTTCATCATGGCGGGCCTTCACATCAGCAGGATGTTCATTCGATTCTCCAGCTTTGCAATCACTCACTGTAGTTCAGGCACAACGAGGAAATGGTGTTACGTAATGCTCAGGGTGCAGGCTGAAGCGGGCATTAAAAAGGCTCCAGGATGAGAAAGCGACTACATCTCAACAATACCGGTATCGGGCCGATACCACGTGTGTGTGCTTGTACTCATAAAAGTGATCCGATACCAGAGTGATGGGAACTGTTGCCCTCTAAAAGATGGTTTTAGTTTGTGCAGAACCCAGTGAGCAGTAGTAAAATAAATGCAAGCCACTTCAAAAAGAAGAAAAAGCCATCGTGGACTTACGCTAGCGGGCTAAACACCATTTGATGGCAGCCAGGTATAGAGGAGCAGCAACGCCTGAGGTGTGAAGGGACTTCCAGGCGACTGAAGCAAGACTGATGGCAAAAAACAAGAAAAAAAACTTGAACCAGTGCAGTAATAAAAATACTTAGGTGTTGTTCTAGACCCATCTTACTGTCAAGCAAGAAATTAATCAGTTTTAATTGGCCTAACTTTAAATCAATTCAAGTTTATTTATAAAGCACCAAATCAGGACAAGAGTTGTCTCAAGGACCTTCAGTAACAAGTTTCCTTATAAGTGTAGCGTCACGAAGGGCCTCGAATTTGTGACAAAGGTCACATTTTCCCAGCTGGGTCAAGCTGGGTCGACTGTAACTTTGCCCCACAGATTAAACAAGCGAGGAGCCGTGATGTCTGCTGAAAATCAGCTTTATCTGCTGCTGTCCCGTCCCAGATTCAAGTTCACAATAATAAATTTAAATAATAATTTTAATAAACTCGTTGACTTTATTAATGTTTATTATAATCATCATAAATAATCACTTGGTTCAGTATAAATGTATTTTAATTACTGAAATGAATTATTATGCTTTGGGTATAATAATGATTTTTGTGATAATCGGTTATGTGTGTTCAGCAAACCAGAAGGTCATCTCGCGCGTAACCAGCCTCATTCAGAAGGCTTCTCCAGGGTAAAAGTAAACTGCCACCACATGTCTTTGACTCATGACCAAAGCTTTCTTGCTCTGAGAGCGGGCGTGTTCTGAGGGGTTTGTTAAAACTACATTTCCAGCATCAAAAGTTCAGTTCGTGAACCAACCACCATCCTGAGGAGAAGGGAACGGCCGCCCTGAACCTCCACCTGCTGTTCGGTCACGCCGATAGAATAGCTTCGAATAAACGCACGATAACCAGCTGACGCAAAACTCCTTCAGAGTTAAGCCAAACGCTCGACACTGTGTACCCTGCGACATCTCTGGACCAGAGGACCGGTTCTACTCGCGTCTTCTCTACCGGACCGAGTACCCTGAGGTTGACAACATCCTCCTTGACCTCTGGATCCACGCAGAGGGTCGTCTTGCTGGGTGAGGTAGCACACAGATTGTGTTTGACGCTGTTTCTCTAAGTAACAACCGAGTTAGCTGCAAAACCATCATTTCCAACCCAGAAACGCGCTTCTCTCGCTGAAAGAAACCTTCTGAGAACATCCACGCATCCAAAACTCTCATTTCCGTTTTAGCTTCCATTCAGTCACGGGTTTGCCTTCAAACAAGTTTTAATATCAAATTGTTTGTTCAAAAATTGTCATTTCTGAATTATCGTTCCAAATTGCCATTTTTTAAAAAGTTTTAGTAATAAAATATTAACTTTAAAAACTTGACTCTCTTCTCGAGATTAAACATAGAACGGTGTGTATTTCTGGTTATTGAAAAAGCAAAGATTCCTAACTTCTGATTCAAAAATAAACTTTTGCTATTAAATTTAATTATCTTAAATTAAACATTAATCTTTGGATTAAATACAGACCAAGCAGGTTGGTGTATGAACTTCTATCGATTATATAAGTATTCTGGATATTTATAGATGATATAAGCTTCATATGCTAATGTGCTTGGTCACTCTCAGAATCTAACAACTGATAGCAAACAGTGTTGATTCTAGTATGTAGACATACGCTACATAATGAACCCAGCAGGTTGCATCGAGTCACTGACTAGTGTCAGAGTCTTTACAGCAATCCTCATACTAAGCAAGCACGCAGCGACAGTGGAGAGGAAAACTCCCTTTTAACAGGAAGAAACCTCCAGAGGATCCTGGCTCAGTATAAGCAGCCATCCTCCACGACTCACTGGGGATGGAGAAGACAGACACACACACACACACACACACACACACACACACACACACACACACACACACACACACACACACACACACACACACACACACACACACACACACACACACACACACACACACACACACAAAGACAAGTAATGTGTCTATAGTTACATTGTGATTTCTTAGTAAATATTCTATTTGGTGAGATAAACTTTATTGTATTTATCCTAGTGGATCTATAATTAAACGGGTAAACTAGCAGTAACACATCCAACGTCAAGGAAAACAAAAAGTTATTATCAGGAGAGGGAGAATGTTTAAGTGGTTAGCAGCAGTGTGCTAGTCGATGGCCCCCTCCATGAGGCCACCACAGCTCAGCAGAACATCGTTGTAGCTTCTTCTGGGGAGAAAAACACTTAGAGAGAAAATAAAGTTAACAGCTGAAATAGCAGAAAATAATACAGTTAAAGAGCAGATTGTAGAAGAAAGCAGTCGAGTGTGGAAAGTGGTCAGTGTATCCTCCAGCAGTCTAAGCCTATAGCAGCATAACTACAGAGATAACTCTGGATAATCTATCCTATTTAGATGGAGGCATGTTGGGCAGATAGATAGAAAGGTAAGTAGGGTAGGGTGGGTGGGTAGGTAGGTAAATGAAGCCACTTAGCTAGCGTTGAGACATTAAGATCAGAACCACCCTGTAGCGGTCCTCCAGTAGAACCCGAGCAGCCGAGACCTCAAGCCGGCTGGGTGACGGTACGTAGGAAGCATAGAGCCCAGTCCGTGGGACACCACCAACCCGCACCCACCGACAAGCCGACTCTGATCATTGGCAGCTCCATAGTCAGAAACGTGGCATTAGAGGCTCCAGCAACCATAGTTAAATGTTTACCTGGGGCCAGAGCGGGTGACATTAAATCCTACCTGAAACAGCTGGCTAACGTAAATACAGTAAGACTGATCAAAGTCTCTTGAAGGCCACTCAAAATCACTTAAGAAATATCTCCAAACTGAGAAGGTTGGTGTCCAAACATGAACTAGAAATGGTTCTCCATGCCTTCATCTCCTCCCATCTAGATGACTGTAACACACGCTTCACGTGTTCTAACAAAAAGCCCTTCACCGCCTTCAGTTGGTCCAGAACTCTGCAGCGAGGCTCCTAACTGGAACAAACAGAAGAGCTCACATCACTCCTATTCTGACGTCTCTGCACTGGTTACTCGTTAACTTTAGAGTTCATTTAGAGTCCTGACTAGAACTTTCAGGGCTCTACATGGTCAAGCGCCTCCCTTACTGACCTGTTAAAGCCTTACGCTCCAACCCGAGCCCTCAGGTCCACACATACTTTCTTTTTTAAAAAAAAACAGCTGAAGAGCCTTTTACTTAAAACTGCTTTCACCTAAATCTTTTGTTTGGTTATTTTTAACTCAAATTTGGAATTGTCTTTCTTTTGTTTCATGATATTTTCTGATGTTGACCTATTTTATTATGATTTTATGTTCTATAGTAAATGTGTCTGCCCATAAAGTTTTATCGAGTATTTAATCAAACAAGACTGTTTGCACCTGGTGGAGAAAACATCCTCCCACAAACCTGCTCAACAGGTTGTTTCACCACTCTGGCATGAAATGTTCTGTTCTTCTGTTTCATAAGGGCTTCCTGTCCGACAGTCGCTTACGGGGTTCATATCAAGGCTTCAGCAGGTCAAATTACTACATTATATTACATTACATTATATTATATTATATTATATTATATTATATTATATTATATTATATTATATTATTTTATATTACATTATATTACATTATATTATATTATATTATATTATATTATATTATATTATATTATTTTATTTTACATTATATTACATTATATTATATTATCGTCGTCATCGTCGTCGTCTTCCTCCGATTATCCGGGTCTGGGTCGCGGGGGCAGCATCCCAACTAGGGAGCTCCAGACCGTCCTCTCCTCAGCCACCTCCACCAGCTCCTCCGGCAGGACCCCAAGGCGTTCCCGGACCAGATTGGAGATGTAACCTCTCCAACGTGTCCTGGGTCGACCCGGGGGCCTCCTGCCGGCAGGACATGCCCGAAACACCTCCCCGGGGAGGCGTCCAGGAGGCATCCTGACCAGATGCCCAAACCACCTCAACTGGCTCCTTTCGATCCGGAGGAGCAGCAGTTCTACTCCGAGTCCCTCCCGAATGTCCGAGCTCCTCACCCTATCTCTAAGGCTGAGCCCGGCCACCCTACGGAGGAAACGCATTTCGGCCGCTTGTATCCACGATCTCGTTCTTTCGGTCATTACCCAAAGCTCATGACCATAGGTGAGGATTGGGACGTAGATCGACCGGTAAATCGAGAGCCTGGCTTTCTGGCTCAGCTCCCTCTTCACCACGACAGATCGGCTCAGCGTCCGCATCACTGCAGACGCCGAACCAATCCGCCTGTCGATCTCCCGATCCCTCCTACCCTCACTCGTGAACAAGACCCCGAGATACTTAAACTCCTCCACTTGAGGTAGGGCCTCTCCCCCGACCCGGAGTTGGCAAGCCACCCTTTTCCAGTCGAGAACCATGGTCTCAGATTTGGAGGGGCTGATTATATTATATTATATTATATTATTCAAAATCCTCATCTTTGTTTATCATTTCTTCCAGGGTGGTGGTCCCCCCTATCTAGCCACACTCCTGAACAGACATTCCCCATCACGCGCTCTGTGCTCCTCTGACCAAGGCCTGCTCGCTGTCCCTCGTTCTAGGTGTCGTACTCGTGGGGACCGGGCTTTCTCAGTCCTAGCACCGTCTATCTGGAACCAGTTGCCACCCTCAGTTAGGCTGTCCCCATCTCTGCCAGTCTTTAAGAGTTGCCTAAAAACCCACCTCCTCCGCTTGGCGTTCCCTGAACATGTTTGATTCGGCCCTCTTTTACGTTGAATTTCTTTCACAGTTTTCATTGGTTCACTCTATCCCTTGTTTTACCCGTCTGTCCTGTACCAGAATGTTTCACCTTTTTTAGTCATTTATATTTTGTAATTTGAATTGCTCTTATTTCTGATTTATTCACCATATTTGTACTTCTACTGTACCATGTTCAGCGCCTTGGGCTTCCTGACAGGGTTGCGGAAGGCGCTTTATAAATAAAGCTTTGATTGATTGATTGATTGATTGATATATTATATTATCAGGGAGGGAATAACACACTGATGGTAAACAATGTGCGTTAAGCAAAACAAGCACTTGTGTGGTTTTAAAGTGAATATTTATATTTACCACTGATATAGGATGAAAGACCTTATGAAAACGTAGAGCTGCCACTCGTGTTAAACTAAATCAGAGCGATTAAACGTTATAACGTAATAAACTCTCATATTCTTGCGATATAATTTTCAAGTTAGAACAAATAAGTTCTAACAATGAACACATGAAGTTTGTACAAACGTGATTAGTGGCTTGTATTTGATATAGCGCCTTCTAGTCCTACAACCCCCCAAGGCACTTTACAATGCAATCAGTCATTTACACAGTCACTCGCTGATGAGCTACACTGTAGCCACAGCTGTCCTGGGGCACACCGAAAGAAGTGAGGCTACCAAGCTCAAACACCACTGGTCCTTCCAACCACCACCAGCAGGTAATGTGGGTTGTGTCTTGCCCAAGGACACAACAGCAGCCGGCTTTGATCCTACAACCCTCTGATTACTGGACAATCCACTCTATCTCCTGAATAGAGCTCTTCACCCATTGGCACAATTGGGTGGGCTACTATAGGTTAGATGCTCGCCCACTAGGTGCTTAATGTGGCTAGCTAGCACCTGCGTTAGCTTCGTTTTGCTCTTTCTGCTGATTCTGCTTTTCCTGGGATCCACTCATCCATCTTTCCTTCTTAACTTTCTTTTTCCCTGTCCTCACATCTTTTGATCACAATTTTCCCTTTTCCCATTTATGATATTTATAGTAATTTTTTATTTCTTTGTTTTTGATGTTTTTGTCCTTGAGTTAAGTATTTATTTATTCATTGCAAGTCATATTATCATCTCAATATTAATCCTTGTTATAGCACATCACAGGTTTCCCTAAGATGTGCAGCCCGAGTCATCTCGTTATCAAGTGATCTTGTTCTAATGTTATTTAGCGTGGACGGCAGATCTCTGTGTCTGTGAGATCTTTGTTAAATTAACACAGAATAGAAAAGAATAAAATATAATAATAATAATAATAATAATAATAATAATAATAATAATAATAATAATAATGCATTGAACTTATATAGCACTTTTCTAGACACCCAAAGATACTTTCACACACTCTCACATTCACACACTGCTAGTGATGGTAAGCTACTTGTAGCCACAGCCGCCCTGGGGAGGTCTGACAGGGGCGAGGCTGCCATTTGGTGCCGTCGGCCCCTCTGACCACCACCAACACAGGCAAGTTGGGTGAAGTGTCTTGCCCAAGGACACAACAGCAGGATACCCCTGGCGGGAGCTGGAATCGAACCCATGACCCTCCGATCATGAGGCAACCCACTCTACCACCTGAGCTACTGCTGAATAGAACAGAATAGAGTAGAATAGAGTGGAATAGAATAGAGTAGAATAGAATAGAATAGAATAAAGTAGAATAAAATAGAATAGAATAGAATAGAATAAAGTAGAATAGAATAGAATAAAGTGGAATAAAGTGGAATAAAATAGAATAGAGTAAAATAGAATAGAATAGAATAGAATAGAATAGAATAGAATAGAATAGAATAGAATAGACTGGCTGGCGTGGGCTCATGAGCGAGATGTTGAGATGGGGCATCATTTGATGCTCTTATTTTGGCGAGCCAGAGTTCCTGGTGTAATTCCAACAACAACGAGTTAATAATAACAATGATAAAAGTGTGTTTCCCAACTCGATGACTTATCGCCATTTCACTAACGAGAAACAATGGCGACCACCAGCACCACCGCTGTCTCCACGTTCAGCTGCAGAACCGGTGCAGTTAACTCTGTCATACTAGAGTCTGGACAGTCACAACAAGGTGGGCTCTGCTCTGGCAGTGATTGGCTGAGATGGCACAGAGCAGTCAGCTGATCCAAGCAGGTTTAGGGGATCACATTCCTGGGACGGGAGCTCTGCTGTAAACATGCAGACATCTCACCAAGCTTGGTGGGTTGGAGGGTTGTCTCAAGTCCAATCCCCTCTGGCTTCAGGCTACACCTGAGTCTGACTGTGACGTTTAGGTGTTTCAGAGATTTTCTAACCTCCTCCTCCTCCACCTGAGCCGGTGTAGAGCGGCTGCCGCCACCCGGCCTCCCCAGCAGCAGCAGGCTGCCCCAGAAGCATCCCTCTCACCAGATCTGGAGCCCTTCTAAACCATGAACGTGTCACTGTACAGGAATGTGAGCAGCAGTTATACAACAGCGTGTAGGTGCCACACGCACACACGCGCACACACACACACACACACACACACACACACATATACACACACACACACACACATATACACACACACACGTTGGCTTGGTGTCCCGAGCTCCCCTCCCCGCCGCGACCCAAATAGGTTAGACAGCTCCCGGTGCTGTCTGTCGCCCCACCACGGCTCGCGACGGACAGCGACCCTCCGTGGAGGTGCCGGTCCGGACCGGTACCTCCACGGAGGGGGCAGCGGAGCTGTGCCGAGCCGCGCTGGCTGCGTTAACCAGCGGGCAGAGACCCGGGAGCAGGCCGGGGGTTGACGTGAGGACACTACTCACCTTGCGCCGCGCCGCTCTCCGCGCGCCGGCAAAAGTAGGCTGCACCGCCCGGCTTGCTGTTAGAAGCCCGCTCCCGTAGCGTCAGTGTGGGTTGTAACCAGGTGGGTTAAAACCAGAAAGGTTTAAAAATAATAAATATAAATGGCTCCTGTTGGTGAACCTGCGTCCAGCTCGATCCGCTCTCCAGTGGGTAGACGCGAGTGAGCTAGCGGCGTCCGCCTCTTCCAACAGCCGGAAGGTCACGGTCACGGTCTGCTGAGGGAACTCCACGGTGCTGACGACTCCCCCACGGTCGGTTCCCCTACCCAGAGCCTGAACGGTGCGGGTGAAGGCAGGTCAGGACAGGCGGAGAGCGGCGGAGCCGCCGGGGAGGCTTCATCCCCACGGCCTGCAGCGCCCTCTGCTGGCCGGAGAAGATCACTGCAGCCTGACAGATTATATAATCCAGATTCCAGAGCAGGTGTTGCTTCTGTCAACGGGATCAAACCTAGCAGTCACGGTAGAAAACTGGGATTATATGCAGGGTGACCAGATAGACGCCCCGCTTTGTGCGGGACAGTCCCGCATTTTCATTACTTTTCACGTGTTGTGAAACTGAGGCTCGTTATTGGCAGTTTGCTGTTTCGAGTTTCAATTTAATGGAAGAAACTGCAGAAATCTACTGCCTGCTGCTGTCAATCAAACGGAGGCGGGACTTTAACGCAGATCCGGAGCATGCGTTGAGCGCGCACGAGCCACCGATACACGCGTGAGCGAGCACGAGCCACCAATAGACGCGTGAGCGAGCACGGAGGAGAAAATGCTGTAAAGTCGTGAATTAAACGTGTTCAGAGACACTCGACAGTCTTTGTTGTTTCTGAGTCATTCTTCATGTCTCGGCGCGGAGTCTGAAGAGGTCAAAAGCAGGTGTTCCAGTAATTAGACAGGTCCATGATGAACACGATGGAGGCTCTGACGCAGACAAGGTGCGGTTTCAGACACCTGCTACATGCCGAGCCCCTTAAAGCCCAGTGGAGACATGATGAGAATAAATGGAAGCTTTCATCACTGATTCTCAGACATTTGAGGCAAAAAGTTACTCTAAGAAACTCTATTATTAGATTAGATCTGATTTTTTTAGAGATTACAATATGAGGTTTATTCTCTCACCTGAGATATGTTGTCATGTTTTAAAAAAACTTTTGTTTCTGTATTATGAAAAAAATTAGATAATAAGTATGGATATTTTTTCAAGGAGGCGCAGATTTTAGTGGGAAATTAATTAAAAACAAACATAAATAGATCTAAAAACTGTTACTGGTACTTTTACTGTCATTCTGTTGTGGAAAACATTCAATGAAAACTCTGAAAAGCTGCTTAAACCTGCGTGTTTTATTATTGTTATCTGCATTATTAAAATGATCAGACAGAGTCATGTCGTGGTGACATGAGAGGAACTGTGAAATAGTAAAGCTTTTGCTGTCTGCTTCTTCATGTTGAATTCAAATAAAGCATACAAGAAATATGTGATGATAATAAGAATAATCATTTTATGTGTGTGTGACGGCCTCTTCTTGTCCGTCCAGGGTTATTGGAGTTTTTCTTTTTGTTGCCTCAAATCACCGCACACATACAATCAGGCCACAGACACAGGACTGCCCTTCAGAGCTTTTTACTGGCAGGATCTGATGTAAAAACAAGCACACAATAATGCATCAGTGTGTGTGCGCTGCAACTGCATACAACGGTCTGTTCAAGGCAAAAAGAAAAACCCAAACATTACTAAAAGGACTGAAAAGCTAGCTTCCATTGGTGTGAATCTCGGCTATAAAGTTATTAATTTAATGCAAACACAGCTAACCTTTTTCGAAATATGCTCTAACAACACTTAAATATCTGTAACAAGTCCAATTGATATATTAACTAAAGGTTAAAATGACTTTAAGTGCAGAGCGGCTTCACAGTACACCTCCACCAGCTTTCATTACTGCTTTGGTGGGAGGGGCCGTGAATGCGCCTGAAGGACCCGTTGCATGCAGTTGCGCCTAACCACCAGTAGGCGGCTTCAAAAACACAAACAATCACTGCACATCACTTTTGGTGAAATTCACATTTTCATCTCTGTTACATGTGTAACGGTGATGTTCGGGCTAAAAGGCAGAATATTGGTTTTGTTTGTTTTTTCTCATTAATTTGGAACTTCACGTTGTCCCACATTTGGCACGTCGGGATCCGGTCACCCTACTGTAAACCACTAGGATAATAATAATAATAATAATAATAATAATAATAATAATAATGTATCCCTAAATTATATTTACACTCCTGAAGACTTTTTTAAAAACACAGCTTCTGTTATTGTCATCATATCAGTCGTGTTTGCTGCAGTTCAGACAACATTCCAGCTCTAACAACTGACAAAAACAGGAAAACATTTAGGAATTTAACCATAGTCAGGTCTGAGAAGCGATGTTCTTCAGAGGTCTAAGCTGGTTGCTGAGCATGGTAAATGGTCTGTATTGGATATAACGCCTTGTAGAGTCCTGGAACCCCCCAAGGCGCTTTACAACACAACCAATCATTCACCCATTATTTTAGTTTTGGACGTGAAGGTGTTTCGAGTTACCTTGACACGTTTCGACCGTCGTCTGCGGTCTTCATCAGAAGTTTCACAGGTGTTTGTGTGACGCGTCTTTATCAGCTGTTCTTCTGGTGGGCGTGGCCAACCCACATCTGTCAGATCCGCCGGGTCGGCCACGCCCACCTCCGCTGGCTGGTGTTTGGAGAAGGGAATCCCAGGTGCGAGACAGCCAATAGGCCGCCTCGTCCCAGTTCATGTTCCGACGTTCCCGTTTCCTTATGTCTATTGCCACCCTGAGCCAACGCTTGAACCGGTTGTTCTCTGTGTTGATCATTTCCTTGATCCCAGTCCATGATGTGATTATTTCGTTTGCATTGATCTGAGACGGCTGACTTGAGGGTTTGCTCCTCTGTTGTTTTTTCTTTCTTGTCCTTGTGAGTCTTTCTGTTGTTTCCTTCTCACATTCCTTCTGGTGCTCTTTTCTTCTTGTGTCGTATGTTCTGCCGGTTTCCCCCACGCATGTTTTATTGCACGACACGCGTGGTATTTCGTAGCTTACGCAGCATTTCTTGTCTGGTTCTATTTTGTCCTTGGGGTGTACCGGTAGCCGTCTGAGTTTCATGTGAGGTTTGACGGTTGTGTTGACTTGTTGTGTTTTCATGGCCCTTTGTACACGTTCTGTGACTCCCCGGATATCTGGAATTGTGATGGTGCGCGTGTGCGTGTGGTCGTTGTTTTCTTTTTTTGGTCTTCCTGTTCTTTTTATTTTATTTTCTTTGACCTGCTGTTTTCCGTTTTCCGTGTTGGCCCATTTCGGATACTGACAGACGGTTAGTGCTTGTTTGACGTGCTCTTCTTCCTGTTTGCGGTCTGCTTCATCTGTAATGAAGCCGGTCCGTTCGTATAAGGTTCTGACTGCTGATAGTTTGTGCGCCGCGGGGTGTTCAGACGTCCAGAGCAGATATCGGTCTGTAAGTGTGGGTTTTCTGTATATTGTGATTTTATGCTGCCATCGTCTGTGTGGTGAATGTTCATGTCCAGAAACGCGATTGTTTTGTTTGTTTCCTCTTCATGTGTGAATTTTATGTTTCCCGTGTTGTCGACCGTGTTCGGGCGGTCTGTGGTTGTTGTGTGTGTCCAGTTTTTATTACTTCCAAGATGTCGTCCACGTATCTTCTCCAGAACGCGTCTCTGTCAGCTGTTCTTGAACCCTCGACCCGGTGGATCTGACAGGTCCGGGTTGGTCGCGCCGAGCGTCACACAAACACCTGTGACATTTCCGAGGAAGACCGCAGACGACGGTCGAAACATGTCAAGGTGACTCGAAAACACCTTCGTGTCCGAAACGAAAAGAACCTCGTTTCATATTAAAAAAGAGGACATGAAGAACACTGTAATTCACCCATTCACACACACATTCACACACTGGTGATGATGAGCTACGATGTAGCCACAGCTGCCCTGGGGCGCACTGACAGAGACGAGGCTGCCGAGCACAGGCGCCACCGGTCCCCCCGACCACCACCAGCAGGCTTAAGGGTTAAGTGACTTGCCCAAGGACACAACGACAGCGACAGACTGAGCAGGGCTTGAACCTGCAACCTTCCAATTAGCGGGCGAGTACTTCACGCCTGTGCCACCGTCGCCCACATAACAAAAGCCCGGTCTTCAGTGGCTATAAACTTGTTTGTCACTTAAACGTTTCAGACCAGTTACATCAGAGTAAATACCAACTTCAGGTTCTGAACGATGGAGGCCAAAACTGTCCAAAGTCACCGAGCTCTGGAGAAACCACCACTGCGGAGGAATGTTGTCCCTCTGTTTGTCACAGGATTATTTGAGTTCAGCAACACTGGCGGGTTCTCCAGCATGAACGACTGGTTTAGGACTAAAGGTCAGACGTTCTTCAGGATGTTCTGTCTGAGAGCAGCATGGTTCCATCAGTTCCAGCAGAATCTGACAGAAACGTCTAAAAAGGTCAATCCATCCATTTTCATCCACTTATCTGGACTCTGGTCACAGGGCCAGCAGCCTAAGCCGAGAGGCCCAGACTTCCCTCTCTCCCCACTTGGGCCAGCTCCTCAGGGGGAATCCCAAGGTGTTCCCTGTCCAGGTGAGAGACATAGTCCCTCCAGCGTGTCCTGGGTCTACCTTTAGGTCTCCTCCCAGTTGGACGTGCCTGGAAAACCTCACCAGGGAGGCGTCCAGGAGGCATCCTGACCAGATGCCTGAGCCGCCACAACTGGATGTGGAGGAGCAGCGGGTCTACTCCGAGCCCCTCCCGAATGACCGAGCTTCTCACCCTATCTCTAAGGGAGAGCCCAGCCTCTCTTCAGAGAAAACTCATTTCGGTCGCTTGTATCTGCGATCTCGTTCTTTCGGTCACTACCCAAAGCTCATGACCATAGGTGAGGGTAGGAACGTAGATCCACCGGTAAATCGAGAGCTTCTCCTTCTGACTCAGCTCTCTCTTCACCACGACAGACCGGTACAACGCCCGCATCACTGCAGATGCAGCACCAATCCGCCTATCGATCTCACGCTCCAGCTTTCCCTCACTCGTGAACAAGACCCCGAGATACTTAAACTCCTCCACTTGGGGAAGGACCTCATCCCTGACCCGGAGAAGGCTTTCTACCCTTTTCCGAATCAAGACCATGGTCTCAGATTTAGAGGAGCTGATTCTCTGACAGCCGGAACCTTTCCATTGTCAACAGGGTCAAACACAAATATGTTTGTGTTAAACAGATGCTTTTGTCCAAAGAGACTTACAGGTGATAATAAAGCAGCAGGTTGCCCTTCAGACTATAACAATAAACACTAAAGGTGGTGGCGAGGCAGCAGAATGAATAATAAATGTTACTGTTATTAACAGGTTCTCCTTGTGTTACAGCTGAGTGTCTGACCATAAAGGCTGAACTGCAATCTTCATTTGAACTCTGATGTCCAGTTGTCCCCCAGAAACCCTTTCACCGTCGCTGCTGCAGCAGACACAGAGCAAAGGCTCATTTTGTTGTGCATATGTGCTTTTTATTGCAGTAATACATCTGAGCATTGACTCTTATTCTCTCTCTCTCTCACACACACACACACACACACACACACACACACACACACACACACACACACACACACACACACACACACACACACACACACACACACACACACAGGACTGGAGGAGAATGCAACACCAAGACTGAAGAAGCCAAAACTCCAATATTTACTTCCACTACTACACCGACTTGGTAAAATCAACACGTGAGGAGCCACAGCGAGGAAGATCCTGCTGACAAACGATGACGTAATCATATTTCTGCCATATACTGTCACTTTATGATGTATTTATATATATTTATTATATACAAATCAATAATTACCCTTTTCTCTTAAAGAGGCTACATTTACACATGAAACTTTTTACAGCCACTAGTCACTAAAAGCCTCGATATCCAAACGAGTCCAACAGTTTTTGCACATTCTGTTTTCACGTCTAGTTAAGATACAACAGGTACAACGAATAGAATAGCTGCTTCTTTTGGGTTTGCACAATACAACACGTTTGTTTTTACAATCATCTATTGCAGTTTCTTTACAGATAACAGCTTTATAACAGTACAACTTCCAGTACATCGCTGTGATATGTTGATGAGTGCTGTCAGCGATGGTGGTGGTGATGACGAGGGGGGGGGACGGTGGTGCCATGGTGGAAACATGCTGGGGTACAACAGTTCTGCTCCTGGACCGGGTTTGTGTGCAGATACTGGGATCTGTGGGTGGAACCATGAGAGGGACGGCTTTCTGCTTCTCTTCATTGCTACCAGAGGAGACTCTTAGAAGCTGAGATGTTTCCTTGAGTGTGCCAGATGCTTCTAGTCCAAGAAACTGCGGTCGCTAGATAAAGAAGGGAAAGGAAGGTGAGATTTGCTTCGTTTTCCTGAAGTTGTGCTGAATCACCAACTAAACGGGCAACAGGTGTGTTAGTAACAGCAGTAAAACAGCAGGGATGCTGCAGCACCAGAAGAAAGACAGACGGGCTGTTTCTCAATGCCAAGGAAGCTTGCCTTGATGTCTTGGCCCCGCCCCAGTTGCCTAGGAGATACGTCATCAGGAGCCGCCAAGACGTGTTCCAATGTTCATGTTCTACCGAGGCGTGTGTTCTCCGTTTGTTAGCCGTTTAGCTAGCTGAACGAGGATACACGGGAGGTGTCGTGTAGCCTAGCCTTGGTCAAAAATTACCCACAATACACCGCGGTATTTTCAAAAGGACGGCGGATCAGAAGCTGGCAGCTACTTCGTGGACAAATTTCAAGTTTAAAAGTAAGTCAGCTAATTTAAAATGTTTTCTTTAGATCCAAAGAAGTTATCTATGGTTGGTTAGTTGCTTAGTAGCTGCAGCTTCGGTGGCTAGCTGTCATGGTCTGCGTCTGCGTCTTCCTTCATGTCTCCTGATGTCTCTCCATCCCTCTCTAGATTCCCTTCTGTGTCTCATAGCGCCCTCATGTGTCCTTTGTCTGCATCTCATTTATGTGTCTTCTGTTTGTTGGCCTTCATATCATTCCCTCAGGTCCGGTGTTCATTTGGTCATCCTCAGCCCCTCCAGTTGTAGCTCCAGCCTCTTTGTCCCCAGTTCAGTGTATGTGAGTGAGTGTATGTGTGTGTTATTGTGTGTGTGTGAGTCCTTCCCTCAGTCTTTAGGTTTAGTTTTGTGTTTATAGTTTTAGGTTCATCTGTCCTCCTTTGGTTCTGTTTCCCAATTTACTGTAGGTAATCATTGTCACCTGCCTTCCCTCCAGCCCTCACTCCACACACCTGCTTCCTGTTTCCTTAATTGTTCTCCCTGTGTATTTAAGCCCTGTCTTGTCTCTGTTTGGTGTCTGCCCATTGTATTGTTGTCACCGTTTGTTCGTGCTCTGTCTGAGCTTCCTGTCTCCAGGTCTTAGTGCTCTATGTTGAGCTTTACGTCTCCAGGTTTTGGTGCTCTTGGTGAGCTTTCAGTGTCCTGAGTTCCTGGACTTTTGATTTTTGGTTTCCTGTCCCTTTGGGATTTTTGGGGCGCATCTTCCTAAATAAAGCATTTAATTTTAAACGCTCCTGCCTCGTGTCATCTGGGGTCTTCTGCATATTGGGTCCTAACCTCCTCCTTACTTCAGAACGTGACACTAGCGGGTAGTAACTCACTTATTTAATTTAATAAACATATACACAATTTAAAAAGTAAAAGGCTCGTTATATATTTATGTTGAAACTAATACGTATAAAATATAACGTTATCTCCCGTGTGACGTGACGTTACATGACCGCCGTGGAAGCCGCGGTCACGTGATGAAGTATGTTCCATTTAACCGTTTTCTTTGACCAACGAAGGACAGTGTCCTTGTAAGCAAGGCGCCTGGCCTCGCAAGACATCGCCTCACAAGGCCAGGCGCCTTGACGTTGAGGAACACCCTCGGTGTAGCTGGAGGTACACATGCACTCTTCATGGGCATGAATGTCTTCAGCTCTGAACTTTTAGCGTTTGCTGAGAGTCGACGGATTACACAACATACAAACCAACTGCAAAAAGGAGGAGTGGAAAAGTTTGAAAATATTTAACTGACATTTGGTGTCGTAGAAGTGCGACAGTTACTTTAGAAGTGTGGGCCGCTCGTTCGGTCAGTGCATCTGCAGTGGTGTCTGGTAGGAATGGATGCCTGCATGTCGTACTCGAGGGGCTAAAAACAGCCCAGAGCCACCTGGATCAGCACGGACAAGTCTGCTGCAGCAGAGCGTGGCAGAACATGGCAGTTCTCACTTCCTGATATGTGGACATCTCTCCTCTGATTGGCTAACTGCAGCACGACTCTACCACTGACTGTCTGCTCTGCAACGTTGATGTTTTATGTCACAAGTCTGGAGGAGCTCTGCAGTGTGGTGGAGCTGCTAATGCTAACGGCTAGCTTCTGCTGTTTCCTGGACGCTAGACCAACAACAGCCTTCCCCGCCATGAGCCAAGATGGGCGAGTCCATGTATGTCGATTTGACATCCTGTTAGGCACTGTGGACCACCCGTAGACGTTCAGGGAGGTTTTGATCTGACAGGTGAATTGCCAGCTGCAGTAGTTCAAGCAAGAGGAGATGGTTTGGAAAACAATCTCAAGTTCAGAGTGTGACAGAATGAAAACTGCATCAGGGACACAAAAGCACCTAATGAAGAAAATCCATAAAGCATCGATTCCTCGTCTACACGGAACCACACTATTCTAAAAACAAGACCCACTACTTCTAGTTCCACTGCTATGTTGAGGACCTTACCAGTGAACAGCAGGAGCCTCTTACATTCGGATTTGATTGCCTTCATTCAGCCTGGTGATGTAAAATAAAGCTGTTGAGGTTAGCCGAGGGGCTAATGGTAGCTAGGAGCTGGACAGCCAATGTTAAAGCTGGAATTTAACAAAAAGGGGGAGGGTGTTGTTGCGTTTAGTGTGAAGCGGTTGTACTCACGCTCCCTCGTCTCTGAGCAGAGTCAGGAACTTGGTCACTCTGTAGTCCTGGTCCATCTGGAGAAACAGCCACATTAGAAAAGATCTTAGCAGCACACTGATGCTCCACAGCAGGGGTATTCATTTCTGGTCCCGAGGGCCGGTATCAGCACGTTTTAGTGGTTTCTCTGCTCCAACACATCCGACTCAGAGGTGGAATCACCTGCTCACCAGGCTCTGCAGAGGCCGTAATCACCTGCTGATGGAAATCAGGGGGTGTTGATTCAGGCTGCAGTGATCCTCTCCGGCCAGCAGAGGGCGCTGCAGGCCATGGGGATGAAGCCTACCCACGGCTCCGCCGCTCTCCGCCTGTCCTGACCTGCCTTCACCCGCACCGTTCAGGCTCTGGGTAGGGGAACCGACCGTGGAGGAGTCGTCAGCACCGTGGAGTTCCCTCAGCAGACCGTGACCTTCCGTCAGTCAGAAGAGGCGGACGCCGCTAGCTCACTCATATCTACCCAGGTTCAGGCTGGCCTAAACCGGAACATGCTGGATACCGGCCCTCCAGACCACTAAAACTTGCATCTGGTTCCTCCTGAGTGTCTAGTGCAGCAGCCAGGTTTGGATCAAGACCAGCCTTTCCTTGACGCTCCCTCGTAGCCTCACGTTGAAACGTCCATTTATTTGCGGTTGTTACTTTAAAATCTTTTTTACTTTGACCTCTTTTATGGGCCAAAGGTGGAGATTTTTGTGTATTTGTCTGGAGTTAAAAACACACATAACCCCGTGCCTGACTGTCCTGCACATGAAGATGAACTTCACTCAGAATACGTGGTGATCAACAAAAGTACGGTGGCCCAGTGCTTCTGTCCACAGACACCAGAGCGGGTGGGTCGAGGGAAGAACCACACGAGTCAGCTGACGTCATGGCATAAACAAAGGTAACAACACCACATGGCTGTGCTGCTTTCCTGGCTCCTGCACTCGTCAGACACAAGCCGGCTTGTGTCGCATCTGTGCTTGGAGATGTCTTAGCTGCAGTTTCACTAGCACGCACTCGGAGCAGTTCGACCTGATTCAGCTCGACGCTACACGGTTCTGGCGGTTGTCCATTACAACTGAGAAATGGCTCCAGTGGGTGGGCTCGTCACGCTGGGGTTGCTGCATGAACCCTAGGCCTGAGGAGATCTCAACAACACGAAGATGGCGGACGCGGTGGTGATGCTGAACGCTCTGGTGAACCAAAAAGGCAGCAGGCAGAAAACTGACAAATCAGCGATGCTGCCTCCTGGCATCGGGGGGATCAAATCAGCTGTTCAGCCTGTTTATCACCTGCTGATTCAAATGTCGAAGCAGGGAAACAACTAACACATGCTGGACTTTGGCCCTCGGGAATGGCAGTTCGAGACCGCTGCCCTAGCTGCTCAGTGCCAGACTCAGACTCACAGTCTGGAACCTGTTACTGATGGAAATGCAGTCTAACCAGACCAAAGCGATCCGAGTCATGCTGAGTAGGTACTGATGGAACTGCGGCTTCAATGACAACAAATGGAAACATTTCATAAGGAGCACACAGTTTATCGCCTTCTTTTGCACAGATGTCGTCTTTTAATGAATCCGACTCACGTTATAAACAATAATCTGGTTTAATATGTTTTTATAACGTTTAGAATCAGATCAAAGATAGGTTAGCCCCACCCAGCGACTTAAAGATCATCCGTACCTGCAGAGACATCTCAATGAGCACCAGAAGCTTCTTGATGCCGATCCAGACGCGCTTTCCTTTGAGCTGGTGAGCTATGCTGGCTCGCTCTTTATCCGTGAAACATCCTAGAAGCTGCAAGCACAGCAAAGGCAGCGGAGACGTCACAAACACCGCGACAGCCAACGTCCGAGTGAGCGAGAACAATAAATACCTCCAGAGCGTCCACTAACTGCTCTCCAGTGGAGATGTTGGGGATGTGGATGGTGGTACTGAAGGCATCCAGCATCTCCATCTCCTGCAGGACATCCTTCCTGCTGGTGGTTCCGATGATGAGCAGCTTCCTGCCCTGCAGGAGGAACACAGTGTTACGGTCAGCCGTGGAACCAGGAAGTAGCACGAGTAGGCAGTAAGCTTCATTCAACCTCCATGTTTACTTCTCACTCGAGCGCTTCTTCTCTTTCTGACCTACTACTCTTACCCTGTAGTGCCCCCTAGTGGTAGACACAACACACACGACTTGTTTTTGTTTGGTTTTGTGTCGAATGTAGATTAAGCAACTCCACGCTGATGGAGGAGCATCATTTATTTAATCCCCTTCTTGCCCAGTTCAAGATGGCCGCCACGACCAGCAAACCTTAGACGACTCAGCGTCCATCCGTCAGTAAACTTTACTAACACTGAGGTACGTGTTGGTTCTGTCCACTGCTAGATGTTGGCTGATGGCCAGCACTGACGTCAGGAGACCTCTGACCTTGGGTGGAGGTTTTTTCAGCAGCACCAGCAGAGCCTGCAGGACCAGGTTGGAGAAACGAGGTCCAATGGGGACGTAGTCCAGCAGCCGCTCAATGTCATCCACCACCACGCAGCTGAGCTGGGACTTGTAAGCGTCATCGAAGACCTGGGCCGAGGTGGAGACCGGAAGTCATCGATAGATAAATGTTTCAGGTGTACAACTGCAAAGAGGCCTGACCTTCTTGATTGCCTGGCACTTGGAGATCTCAGAGTGTCCGATCATCTTGTCTGGAGAGCAGATCTTAATGAAGGGGAACTGAGAGTCCTCCGCTATCTTAGCCGCCAGGGCCGTCTTCCCGCAGTGAGGCGGACCTTCACAGCCACAGAACAAGGGTTTGTTTTTCCTGCTTTGTGCTCGGAGTGACGTCTGCGTGTGAGGTCTTACCCTCCAGTAGGACGGCCACCAGCGGAGTGCGGTCGCTGTTCTTGGTCTGCTGTACAAGCAGCTCTCCGTCATCCAAGACATGAGTAACCGGGTCGCCCCATTTGATGATCCCGTTCATGATGTAGCTGGAATAATCCTCCTGGTTTGTTCCGAAGGCCTGGAAACAAAGACGAGAGCAGAATGAGGAATGGTTGTCCGTCGCTGTGCCAGCGCGTGGTCGGGCGGCGTACGGGTTTGATGTCGTTGTTGAGGGATCCCATGAAGTCGGCCCTGGTGACCTGCAGCTTCTCAGCCCGCTCCATGTCCACCTCCACCGTGGACGTGGCCTAAAACACAAGGTTCACACAAGGTTTGGTCATTAGTTTGAGCAGAGATGTTATGAAATCCTGAGTGACTTCAGATGTTAAAACGTTCCTTTAACAATCACGTTCTCGTTAGTCTCCTGAAACCAGGCCTCGGTGCGGGGAGTCGTTTGTAATTTCTTCTCGTTTTTTACGACTAGAAGGACCTCCTCAACAAAAAAACGTTATTTTGAACAAAGTAAATTTTATAAATAAATGTTAAAAGATGTCGGTGCGAAGCGTCAGGCGACCTTGATGTGTCGGTTCATGGCGGTGGACTGCGCCGCCCTGACCAGCCCCTCCAGCTCTGCGCCGCTGTAGTTCTTCGTCTCTGCTGCCAGCTCTACGACGTTTACATCCATGGCCAGCAGGTTGAAGCTTCGCATCTTGCTGGTGTGGATGTTTAGGATCTGGACGCGGCCTTTCTCATCGGGAAGACCTGGATGACGGAGCAGCGAGGCAGAGAGGGAAAAGGAGAGATGAAACGTCCAAACACGGGAGGCAGGAACTCTCGTCTCTAAGGAAGAGGTGGCGCCGTTCATTCAAGACCGATCTGAACTGATCAGCTCTCCAGTATCTCACCCTCCATCTTTAACCTCATGTCATCATCAGCTCACATCCTTTCCTGTCTGAAACGATCCACCGGTCCACGGAAACCTCCCATCACCCTCGCTCACCTGCATCCTCATCAGAGAGGAACTCTGATGAGGATGCAGGTGAACGAGGCAAGAGCTGAGATGAGACCTTCCTAACCCATAAATGTGACCCCCCCCCCCCCCCCCCCCCCCCCCCCCCCCCCCCCCCCCCGGTAATAGGTCTGACGCGGTGTCTGTTAGTTTAAGGGCCTGATGTCCTCACAGCCACTCACCGATCTCCATCTTCACCTCAAACCTGCCAGGTCTCATCAGAGCATCGTCTATCAGGTCGGGCCTGTTGGTCATTCCTGCGGAGAACGAGGAGCAACAGGGTCATCACGGGAAACATCTGATGATCACACACGAGTATTTACCGGATAACTCAGAAGCACGTGGCCTGTGAACCATACAGGACACGTTTAAAGCGTGTTGCTCTGTACGTGTGCATGTTTGTACCGGGTTCATGTCTAAGGCACGATGTTTGATCTACATCTGCGGTCTTGTGACTGAAAAGTGCAGAAAATCTACAACAGCAGCTAAATCTCCTCAGAAGACGTCTGGCTGCCGTGTTTCTACCGCGCCAGCAGCTCATCTCTCTAGATAATCTGTCTTCCCTCCTGGCTCTCAGTCCTCGGTCCAGCGTGGAGGCCAGAATCTGTCCGGCTGGAGCAGGAGTCTGTGTAGCTGGCGGAGATGAGGTGAAGCACCTCTCTGAAGTCCTCACCGATGACCAGGATGTTGTTCAGCTGCTCCACACCGTCGATCTTGGACAGAAGCTGGTTGACCACGGTGTCGTGCACGCCCGTGCTGCTAGCGCCCGTTCCTCTCTGCTTGCAGATGGCATCCAGCTCATCAAAGATGATGATGTGGAGGCCGCTGTTGGCTCCCAGCTGAAACACAGATGCTGCTTTTGATCTGGTCTTCCTTCTGTTGTTGTGTGCTGAAGGAAAGTCTCCTACCCTCTTCTGCTCCTCCTCTGCTTCGGCAAACAGTTTGCGGATGTTGGCCTCGGACTCTCCCACATACTTGTTCAGAATCTCCGGTCCGTTGACGACCTTCGGTTCGCGAGCGTTGAGCATCTTCCCAATCTGCCTTGCCATCAGGGTTTTACCGCATCCTGGAGGTCCGAACAGCAGGATGCCCTTCACGTGCTTACAGCCTGGAACAAGGATGGACAAGTAAGAGTCATGGAAAGCAGTCTACAGAAACCACAGACGGAGTAAGAAAAGAGGAGTCAGACCGTGAGGGAGCAAACATTCTGTCATCATATCTAATTTTCACCTATAAACAAACGTGATATTCCGGTTCTGTTTCATTCCCATCAGTTTAAAAAGGTTTGAGAGGTTAAAACGTGCTCCCTGGTTTGGTAGACAAGTGACTAAATCCTAATTAAGTCACTAACGAACTTCCCCGCTCACCCATCTGTTCCACAATGTCAGGAGGGAAAACTCGGGAAGCAAACGCTCTGCGGAAAATGTCCGAGAATTCCTTATCCAGGCCTCCAATTCCCATTTTCTCAAAGTTCCAGTCGGGATTAATGATCGTCTGTCGAGCCTCTTTGGTCTTTGCCTTTCCTGTTGGTGCAGAATCACACACACACACACACACACACACACACACACACACACACACACACACACACACGGGCGTGCACAAACACACACACACACACACACACACATACAAACACACACACACGAGCGTGCACAAACACACACACACACACACGAGCGTGCACAAACACACACACACACACACGAGCGTGCACAAACACACACACACACACAGACACACACAGACACACACACACACAAACACATACACACACACACGCACACACACACACACACGAGCGTGCACAAACACACACACACACACACACACACACACACACACGAGCGTGCACAAACACATACACACACACACACACACACACACACAGACACACACACACACAAACACACACACACACACACACACACAAACACACACACACACACACACACACACACACACACACACACACACACACACACACGAGCGTGCACAAACACACACACACACACACAGACACACACACACACACACACACAGACACACACACACACACACACACAGACACACACACACACACACACACACAGACACACACACACACACACACACGAGCGTGCACAAACACACACACACACACACAGACACACACACACACACACCCCTATTGTCAGCATTTCTCGGCGTCCTTCTCTAAACTGGTGAATCAAACTGGTGTGCAGTGCCAGATGAGCAGATTTCTGCTCTGCTGGTTGGAGACGTACCCACTAACGTGAGGGAAGAACTTTCTGCCTTCTCAAAAATCACCTGGCTGTTGCCGACCATCAGACCCACGTCGATCTGCCAGAGGAATCAGACACGGTCATTATTCTGCTCCATCAGCACAGGTACGCCCCGGAAACGTGGGCAGCTGCCTGGGCCGGAGTCTCCGGGTGTCCCCGTTCCCCTCCGTGGGCAACAGAAACAACGTTGGAACCACCTGATACCGCGGACTTAGGGACTCTAGTTTCAGCTATTTGCTGAAAGTGCGGACGGACGGGACACTTGCATCGGGAACGTCCCCCTGATGGAGCTCGATAGGGACTCTGTCCGGGAGATGGAGGGTCTCTGTGGTGCTGGAAGGGTTTCAAAGGGTTCCAGGTGCTAGCAGATTCTAAATGTTCTCATATCCTCATCCATCAGCGTCTGGTCTGGCCTGAGGTGGTGGTTAATGCATGTGGGGAGCTAACTAAGTACAGGCAGGGTGAGGTGCATAAGTAACCCGTGTTGCTGCTGGTAACAGGTTCAGGCCGCGGTTATCCTTCCCAACGCACCCCTTCATTCTGGGAATGGAGAGGCCAGGGTGTGATCAGCTGATGGGATGGGTGAGGGTGTGTTCGTGACCATCAGTTACATGACGGGGGGGAGCAGTGTTCAACAGTGACACGGGGTTGTCCGACACGGGTTCCCTGCTTCAACCTTAACCCTCCCTCTGTCCTAATGGGTGTGACCCCGTGAAGAAAGCTGACCAATGAGCAGGGTTGATGGTTTATTCCTTGAGGTCCACGTGGCAGGGGTGAGGTGGTGCTCACTCCTCACCCCTGCCACGTGGACCTGAAGGGATAAACCATCAGTCCTGCTCATTGGTCAGCTTTCCTCACGGGGTCACACCCATTAGGACAGTGGGAGGGTTAAAGGGAGTTTTCCGCTGGAGCCGTCTCATTGCGACACTCTGCCTTCGACCAAGTGATGACGATTGATGGTCACATGATGTGCCTTGACTCTGTGCCGCCTACCCCTTTGTTGCATTGATTGGAGATTAGCTTTACCAGGTGAGTCACGACACCCAAAACGAAAATGAACTGCTGACGCTAAAGAGCCCTCGGGAAGTGGTCATCCAGGGCGGCCCACACGGCTCGGATCATGTCCGAATTTTACTGGCTGGGCACTGGAGTGCGCCCTGCCCAGAATGCCGATTGGTGAATCCTCTGGCCATGCCAAGAGGGCCCCTGTGGCCCCTCCCATTAATGGAGGTGCCAGTCAACTGCATCAGAATGGTTTTAATCAGACTGCTTGATCGGAGCATGGGACTTCACTCAGCGTTGGTTCTAGTGGACTATGCAACACCTATAACCTATAAGAGGTGGTGCCGTGCACAGCAGCATCCCTGCCAAGGGCGTGGCTCAGGCCCTGGTTTCAGGTCATCTTAAGCGCTGGGGTCCCAAAAGAGATCCCAATGGACCAGGGCGCCTCGATCATGGCTCCCACACTGACTGAGCTGTACGAGTTATCGGGCATCAAGTCTGTTCAAACAGGGTCTACCACTCGCGGTCCAGCGGGCTGGTGGAGCGGTTCAACCAGAGTCCAAGATCCACAAGTTCACACATGAGGATGAAGGTCACTGGGATAAATGACTGGGCCTCCTGGTTCTTACATTGTGGAGGTTCCCAACCCTCCGTGACGTTTTCCCCCACTGGAAATGGGGTTCTGGTTCTGATTAAAGAAAGTCTGAAGAACGATCCAAGCCAAGCAAGTTTTTCTCCCACAGACCAAAAACACGCATGGTAGGGAACCTGGGAGTCTCTTTGGATGGAAGCGTCTGTAAGAAAATAAACATCATTTCCTTCCGGTTTCTGTGAAAAGGGTCAGTAATGTAGTTGATACACGTATAGCTCACGCAGCCCGTGTTCTCCGGTACTACCACCTAGCCGCATGGGTACTTGGGTACTTGGTGTATTTCAGCTCCTAGATCCAATTTTCCAACTTACTTTCTGGAGTTTAATTACTGAACTGATGCTGCGGCTCAGAACGATCACAGATTCCCACGAGTGACGGACGTGAATCCCAACGAAGCTCCGTTAGAACGACAAAAGGATCACAGGCTCCTCCCACCCACAGAAACCGGAGTCACAAACCAGCTCCGCTCTACTGTCTTGCTGTTTGGTCTCACAACAGGTACCTTCTGCTGTTTCTTCCCAGAAGCTGGTTCTCCTTTGAGGATGCTGGCGTCCATGGCGTCGATGTCTTTCACCACCAAACCAAACAGCTTGTCACAGAAGCTAAACACTAACTGAGTAAAAGAGAACAGAGAAGGATTAGCAGAACATCGACTCTCAAAGGTAACTGTGTGTGTGTTTGGGTTTAGATGCTGGCCGGTAGAAACCTGCTGAGTGACAGAGAAGGCCTGGTTGTTGAACTGCTGGATGAACTCGGCGGCCATCTTGTCCGAGTCGTAGGGAGAGGAGTCGGTGCTCTTCTTTTGCAGGAAGTCGATTTCGATTGTCATGGCGCCGATGCACTGCTTGGTCTTGTCAAAGTTGTAGTTGGACACTGAACCAACAGAAGTTCCACTGTTAGACCTCCTCACAGAACCATGACACCGAGATCAGCATTATTAATGAAGATCTTAACCGTAAGGCCCAGCAGCCTGAGCCTAAGCACCCACACACACTCCAGAAAGATCTGGACTTTACTGAGACCCAACGAAGGCCTCAGCACATCTCCCGACGGCCTCTCGGAACAACCACCTGCAGACACACTTCCCCCAAAACCAGATCTCGATGGACTTGATCTGAAGTGAGCGTGCACTCCTTCGGATTCGGAACGGCCAGCAGATCCATCTCACCCGTGTTAACTTCGTTGACTAAGGCCTGGTCCACACGTAGCCGGGTTTTTTGAAAACGAATATCCGCCCCTCCAAAAACTTGCATCCACACCACCGCGTTTTAAAAAGAAACTCTGTCCACACGTACCCGGATAAATACGTTGTTAAGGACATGCCAGACCTGTAGGCGGCAGTACTTCCCCTGTTCTTAACCTCGTCCTTCGTCTGTGGTCTTCCGCAAGGAGCAGTAATTCTGCTTGCAAAACCAAACAAGCAAAAAGTGCTTGGACAATTGATAAAGCAAGCGCAGCTCTGAGTGCATCCATGCTGTCAGCTAGCGTAAACACAGGTCGCACACGTGATGTCCGCATGTTTTGTCGCGGAAAGTGACGTTGCGGACCTTAAAACTCCGGTTTTGTCCGTCCACACGCAGACTCCCAAAACGGAGAAAACGCAGATCTTCACTTTGGTCGGAGTTTTTAAAAAACTCCGTTTTCGTGTGGACGACAGGCCAAAACGTAGAAAAATATCTACGTTTTGGCAGATCCCCGGCTACGTGTGGACAGGGCCTAAATCATTTTGGGGTTTTTTTCAGAACCAATTCACTTTCACGGAATAAAATGAAACGAAAATGAAAACACACACACCAATAATAACGCAGTTATGACGAATATTGAGCAACAGTTTTGTTGACGAACAAGAGACCACAAAAATCCAATCAGAAAACAGAAAAGACGGAGCTAGCGCTAACCAGACGTCACACGTTCAAACGGGCAAAAGTTACGTCTAAAGGGAGAAAATGTCTGCGACAGTAGATAAATGATGATGACCTGCACTTGTATAGCGCCTTTCCGAGTCAGAGGACTCCCACTTCACTCACACACACACACTCACACTGATGGCGATGAGCTACGATATAGCCACAGCTGCTCTGGGCGAGGCGAGGCTGCCCTCGACCACCACCAGCAGCCAAGGTGGGTTGAGTGTCTTGCCCAAGGACACGTATCATAAGACAAACCCTCCTTCTGCTTGGGGCCGTCGTGTTCTCCATTATTATAACTTTCACACAGAAAAACGCTTTAAAACGATTGAAATAACTCAAGAATCGGAACTTCCACCGAGCCTGTAGGAAACCCATCTACAGTCCAGGCCAAACGTTTGGACACGCCTTCTCGTTCAAAGCGTTGTCGTTATTTTCATGACCATTCTATTGATGAGCTTCAGCAGGTGGTCCTTCAAGACCGCTGGAAAAGCATCGAAGCTCATCGAGAGAATGTCAAGAGTGTGTAAAGCAGTGATCAGAGCAAAGGGTGGCTTTCGAAGGAAACAGAAAATAAAACGTGTTTTCAGTTATTTCAGTTTTTGTTAACTCTTCATGTGTTCATTCACATTTTTGACGCCTTCAGTGAGAATCTCCCGATGTAAGTGGTCATGAGGATGAAGACAGCACACTGAACGAGAAGGCGTGTCCAACCTTTGGCCTGCACTGTGTAAAGCCCACTTCTTATGAGCGTTGCTCTGGCGGGAACTCTCACACCGTGAACCAGCACAGCGACGCGTTTTAATACAGATCAGCTATCGATGGGAGTCAAAGAAAGAAGCTTTTACCTTCCACCTCCTGACCTATGGAGAGGCCGGCCCACTTCCTCTACAGGACACAAAACACACAACTTGAAGGCTTGGTCAAAAGTTACTCTGTGTGTGTGTGTGTGCATGCGTGCGTGCGTGCGTGCGTGTGCGTGCGTGCGTGTGTGTGTGTGTGTGTGTGTGTACCTGTGGCAGGCTGAAGGCAATGCTTCCAGGAGCTACAGTATGATGGGTCTTCACTGTGAACACATACTTGTGAGTGGGGGTTGTCTTCACCGTCACATGCCTGCAGGGACGTACGACCAACCGTAAACATTACAGGAGTCTTGCATCATACACGATGCACAATCCACGTTTTGGACACGGTAAACCATTGTTTGCTCATGAAAACGCCCCCAGAGCAGCTTTTGGCTTCCGGCGTGCGCTTCCCTGTCTCATCTGCAAATCTTTGCTGGTGTGCCTGGCAGACAGCAGGATGGGTCGTTGCTGCATCATCGTGACCCGTTCCTTCCCATCCAGGTAGTCTCGAGTCTGGATCCCTCCTCCCTCGTACTGTAAACACTAACACCCAGTCTTTCTGTGTAGCTGGCAGGAATTTCATCTTCAGTAGCTCTCAGAAACTGAGCCAGAATGTCACCACTGGCAGAACCGGAGCGGGTTTTCAGATGGATTTCTTCCTCAAACTGGCACCATTATGATGTTAAAGCGATGATGTGTATTTTCCCTGGCGATAGGGGGCAGTACACACCTAAAACATTGCAAGTAAGTGTTTTTTTTGTGTGTGTGTTTGAGATAGAACTCACCAATAAATGTCCATCAGGGTCAAAGATCCCTGGAAGCACGAAAGCGCCAGACTCCCTTTCATCAGAGGCAACAAGTGGAGGTAAATGTGCATGAATGGTGAAAGTTTTGTAACCACTTGTTACAAATCAGCAAATGTGTTTTGTCCCGTAGACGGAAACATGGCGCTCCCGCTCCCGTGTATTTTAGACCCGATTTCTATGGTTATGTTACAAAACCGCCGATATTTTTCAACAACTGGGCGTCGTTTATTTTATTTTCAACAACATGTCGATGGATATTTCCAGAGATTAACTACACGATGTCTCTTTAAAGCCAGGGTGGTGAGTACAGCTGAAATGCTAACCACTGGTCGCTAGCTAAAGGTCCTAAACAGAGACAGACTGGGACAATGATTCCGGTTGGGACTCTGCTGTCATCCCGTTTGTGTGGTTTTCCGCTAGCGGCTCGAGGGAAGGAGGGCTGAGTGAGGCGTGGCGGGGGATCTGTGGTCTCTGGGTCTGCAGCTGTGCACGATTGTGGAATTCACGCCAGGGGAGGCGGGGTTTCACCAAATCCAAGCATCTTATTTTCAGGTTGAAGGAAGGGCTCACATTTACTTACATTTAATAAAAAAAAGGTCTCTTAAAGGTTTCAATGGACATATTTTATCATACAGTGTGCTTCCTGTTGCTCTGGAAGAAAGGGCAAGGCGGCTTTGTTCATGAAGCACATTTCATACACCGAAGATATTCAATGTGCGGTCCTGGTGCTGGACCGATAGCATGACACGGGTCCTTTAAAGGCTGAAGACGGTAGCTGACAAAGACTCAGTGAGACTTTTCGTATGATTGGCTTGTTGCTTCTGAAACGCTGACTTAAACATGGCATAAATGAAAACAGTTAAATACAAGATGTTGGTTCTGAAACGCTGACTTAAACATGGCATAAATGAAAACAGTTAAATACAAGATGTTGGTTCTGAAACGATGACTTAAACATGGTATAAATGAAAACAGTTAAATACCAGATGTTGGTTCTGAAACCCTGACTTAAACATGGCATAAATGAAAACAGTTAAATACGAGATGTTGGTTCTGAAACGCTGACTTAAACATGGCATAAATGAAAACAGTTAAATACGAGATGTTGGTTCTGAAACGCTGACTTAAACATGGCATAAATGAAAACAGTTAAATACGAGATGTTGGTTCTGAAACGCTGACTTAAACATGGTATAAATGAAAACAGTTAAATACAAGATGTTGCTTCTGAAATGCTGACTTAGACATGGCATAAATGAAAACAGTTAAATACGAGATGTTGGTTCTGAAACGATGACTTAAACATGGCATAAATGAAAACAGTTAAATACGAGATGTTGGTTCTGAAACGATGACTTAAACATGGCATAAATGAAAACAGTTAAATACAAGATGTTGGTTCTGAAACGATGACTTAAACATGGCATAAATGAAAACAGTTAAATACAAGATGTTGGTTCTGAAACGATGACTTAAACATGGCATAAATGAAAACAGTTAAATACAAGATGTTGGTTCTGAAACGATGACTTAAACATGGCATAAATGAAAACAGTTAAATACAAGATGTTGGTTCTGAAACGCTGACTTAGACATGGCATAAATGAAAACAGTTAAATACGAGATGTTGGTTCTGAAACGCTGACTTAGACATGGCATAAATGAAAACAGTTAAATACAAGATGTTGGTTCTGAAACGATGACTTAAACATGGCATAAATGAAAACAGTTAAATACGAGATGTTGGTTCTGAAACGATGACTTAAACATGGCATAAATGAAAACAGTTAAATACAAGATGTTGGTTCTGAAACGATGACTTAGACATGGTATAAATGAAAACAGTTAAATACAAGATGTTGGTTCTGAAACGATGACTTAGACATGGTATAAATGAAAACAGTTAAATACAAGATGTTGGTTCTGAAACGCTGACTTAAACATGGTATAAATGAAAACAGTTAAATACAAGATGTTGGTTCTGAAACGCTGACTTAGACATGGCATAAATGAAAACAGTGAAATACAAGATGTTGGTTCTGAAACGCTGACTTAAACATGGCATAAATGAAAACAGTTAAATACGAGATGTTGGTTCTGAAACGCTGACTTAAACATGGTATAAATGAAAACAGTTAAATACAAGATGTTGGTTCTGAAACGCTGACTTAAACATGGTATAAATGAAAACAGTTAAATACAAGATGTTGGTTCTGAAACGCTGACTTAAACATGGTATAAATGAAAACAGTTAAATACAAGATGTTGGTTCTGAAACGCTGACTTAGACATGGCATAAATGAAAACAGTGAAATACAAGATGTTGGTTCTGAAACGCTGACTTAAACATGGCATAAATGAAAACAGTTAAATACGAGATGTTGGTTCTGAAACGCTGACTTAGACATGGCATAAATGAAAACAGTGAAATACAAGATGTTGGTTCTGAAACGCTGACTTAAACATGGCATAAATGAAAACAGTTAAATACGAGATGTTGGTTCTGAAACGCTGACTTAAACATGGTATAAATGAAAACGGTTAAATACAAGATGTTGGTTCTGAAACGCTGACTTAAAGATGGTATAAATGAAAACAGTTAAATACAAGATGTTGGTTCTGAAACGCTGACTTAAACATGGCATAAATGAAAACAGTTAAATACAAGATGTTGGTTCTGAAACGCTGACTTAGACATGGCATAAATGAAAACAGTTAAATACGAGATGTTGCTTCTGAAACGCTGACTTAAACATGGCATAAATGAAAACAGTTAAATACAAGATGTTGGTTCTGAAACGCTGACTTAGACATGGCATAAATGAAAACAGTTAAATACAAGATGTTGGTTCTGAAACGCTGACTTAAACATGGCATAAATGAAAACAGTTAAATACGAGATGTTGGTTCTGAAACGCTGACTTAAACATGGCATAAATGAAAACAGTTAAATACAAGATGTTGGTTCTGAAACGCTGACTTAAACATGGTATAAATGAAAACAGTTAAATACAAGATGTTGCTTCTGAAACGCTGACTTAAACATGGCATAAATGAAAACAGTTAAATACGAGATGTTGCTTCTGAAACGCTGACTTAAACATGGTATAAATGAAAACAGTTAAATACAAGATGTTGGTTCTGAAACGCTGACTTAAACATGGCATAAATGAAAACAGTTAAATACAAGATGTTGGTTCTGAAACGCTGACTTAAACATGGTATAAATGAAAACAGTTAAATACAAGATGTTGGTTCTGAAATGATGACTTAAACATGGTATAAATGAAAACAGTTAAATACAAGATGTTGGTTCTGAAACGCTGACTTAAACATGGTATAAATGAAAACAGTTAAATACAAGATGTTGGTTCTGAAACGCTGACTTAGACATGGTATAAATGAAAACAGTTAAATACGAGATGTTGGTTCTGAAACGCTGACTTAAACATGGTATAAATGAAAACAGTTAAATACAAGATGTTGGTTCTGAAACGATGACTTAGACATAGTATAAATGAAAACAGTTAAATACAAGATGTTGCTTCTGAAACGCTGACTTAAACATGGTATAAATGAAAACAGTTAAATACAAGATGTTGGTTCTGAAACGCTGACTTAGACATGGTATAAATGAAAACAGTTAAATACGAGATGTTGGTTCTGAAACGCTGACTTAAACATGGTATAAATGAAAACAGTTAAATACAAGATGTTGGTTCTGAAACGATGACTTAAACATGGCATAAATGAAAACAGTTAAATACAAGATGTTGGTTCTGAAACGATGACTTAAACATGGCATAAATGAAAACAGTTAAATACGAGATGTTGGTTCTGAAACGCTGACTTAAACATGGTATAAATGAAAACAGTTAAATACAAGATGTTGGTTCTGAAACGATGACTTAAACATGGCATAAATGAAAACAGTTAAATACGAGATGTTGGTTCTGAAACGCTGACTTAGACATGGCATGAATGAAAACAGTTAAATACGAGATGTTGCTTCTGAAACGCTGACTTAAACATGGTATAAATGAAAACAGTTAAATACAAGATGTTGCTTCTGAAACGATGACTTAAACATGGCATAAATGAAAGCAGTTAAATACAAGATGTTGCTTCTGAAACGCTGACTTAAACATGGTATAAATGAAAACAGTTAAATACAAGATGTTGGTTCTGAAACGATGACTTAAACATGGCATAAATGAAAACAGTTAAATACAAGATGTTGGTTCTGAAACGCTGACTTAAACATGGTATAAATGAAAACAGTTAAATACAAGATGTTGGTTCTGAAACGATGACTTAAACATGGCATAAATGAAAACAGTTAAATACAAGATGTTGGTTCTGAAACGCTGACTTAGACATGGTATAAATGAAAACAGTTAAATACAAGATGTTGCTTCTGAAACGCTGACTTAAACATGGCATAAATGAAAACAGTTAAATA